CAACTGAAGTCTTGCATATTTTTACTTAATGCCACGTAAAATTAAGAACAAACAGACTGAAAAAAAGGCACGTATTAACTGTCAGTTTCTTTTTATTTCCAAAAAAGAGAAGACTGAAGAGCAAGCCCCAGTATTTCCCCCCATACACCCTATTTTTTACAATTTTTAAAATTTTTAAGATTAGTTTGATCATTAATACGCCCTTCACATAAACATGCTATACATTCAGCCAGAGTAAAATACGGGTGCAGTTTATGGCTTCCAGTGAGTGGTGCTTGCCATAAATAAGCATGGACAGGTAAGAGGAACCAGCACTGGGCGCTGCATTGTCAAGGGGAGCAGTGAGGCCTTTTGAAGTGCTCTGAGCAGGAAGCAGCGCAGCCTTTTTAATTAGAGCACATACAGCTGGAGGATATACAGGAGGAGTCTCCTCAGAATTTATTTTGGGAAGGGAGGGACATATCCTTCAGGTGTTCTCATTAATGCAGGTTTAAACACAGAGCATAAACCCCAGCATTTTAAGAAGAAAAAAAAAATAACCCTTTCCCCCCAAATACCAGGGCTGAAATCCTGCTCTGCTTGAAATCAACTGATGTTTTGCCATTTAACTCAATGAGACCGTAGTTTCTTTCCAAAAAATTAGTATGGACCGCTTGATCCCAGTCCCATCAATAATAAGGCTGTACACAGAAAACTGCTGATATATTTTCAGTGTGTTTACATATAAATACATAGGAACATCAGAAAAAAAAATTCATTTCAAGCTTGATCCTGCTTTTCTTCTGCATGCAAGGCCACCCCTGATTTCACAAATGATTTCCATTCTGAGAGGTCAAAATCAGTTCTCATGTAAGGATCAGACTGGAATTATTTCCATGGTATCGGAGCTTTGTATTTTTATGAGAATTGAATTTGAGTCTCTGGAGGCAGAAATACCATTTGGTTTCCTTACTGAGCACTGATGAAAGAAATAAAAAAAAAAAAAATCTTTAGAAATGATAAACTGGCAAATTCTGAATAGATGTGAGGTTTTGTTATGCAGGAGACGCAGCAAAAGTATCACTGAAAGAGAGAACTGTAAGCAGTTTTTTAAACATCGTAACTGAAAGTGATTATTGTTTGCTTTTGCCCTTTATCTGGTAGGCCATAATTAGTTTATAATTTTCAAGATTTCTGTAATTGATTATGCCGTTTAAGTCTGCAGTGCTATTTGCTAAGAAAAAGTCCTTGTCAGCACTTTTGCCTTTGTAACAAGAAATCTTGAAACACCTATTTTTTTAGATCGTTATTACTTTTAGATGTCAGATATGTGACGTTAAAGTATTTGTGAAGACAGTAGAAAATGACAGGTATATTAATGTGTTTAACTGCTAGATATTGATAAAAATCTCTGTGTGAGAACTAGATATGATTGTTATTAATGAGACCTGGGTTTGTTTAATTTGGGAAATAAGTCACATTTTTATTTACGTATTATTTTGTAAACCAATTAAGGAAATACCTGGTTTTAGTTACAGTATGCTACCTTCAAATTTTTGAACTGTAACATAGTTTCCACTAGTGTTACTCCCCGTATTTATTAAAAACATTTCCCCTGAGAGCTAGATGCTTTCTGATCAAAATAACTAAAATCGTTTGACCGTACCACAGATTTAATCAATCTGATTATTCTCAAAATCTCAATGTAAAGTAACCAGAGTATCTGCATGTTTCACGTTGATCTGTGGATACCAGAAATTGTTTTTGTAATAGCAATGAAAGTCATCACATTTTATATTTCACAAATGAATATAAAACCTTAAAAAGGAAAAAATCCTTCATTCTTTTGCAAACTGAATAGTATTTTATTTGGATCACTATAGTGAGGTTTGCAGATAGTTTCAGGATAGCAAATGCCGATTTCTTACCTATGTGTCTGTAGGTACATTTCTTTTTTGATCAAGACTGGAAAAGGTCTTGAGGTTATTGATGAGTCTTATTTATCCATGAACTGATATTAAACAGACTTACAAAATTGCTTATTTCAGCTGTGTTATATCCTATTCACATGTTTGTTGGGGTTTTTTGTATGGTGTACCTTAGCTTTGAAAGTGTGAAGATGGTGTCTATTTCTAGAAACAGGTAACAGATGTATTTGCAAGCAGGTTTTGACACTACGTAAGCAATAAAAGTAAAACAATAAAAGGTGTATTCTTATCATGCAGGCTTTTCTGACTGCATCCTTCTTAATCTGTTACCTGTTAAAATCTCATTTCAAAATTGTTAAAAATCTGACAAGCACCAACTTCAGAGGATTTATAAAGTATTTCAAATGTGATTTTAAAAACATAATGCTACCATTATAAAATAAACTCTTATCTTTGAAATCTAAAATAGGCACGTGTAATTTAACCTATCACTACAGAGAGCAGACAAATTTATTTTAAGATACTATGGTTTGACTATATTTCTCTCCATGTCACTGGAGAAGAGACTTTTTATTTAGATTTTTAAAGACTGTTTCATTATTGCTTTTTATTTTGTTAGATAGCTTTGTGGAATAGTAACAGGATTTTACAAAACCGTCGGGTTTTGGAAAAAAGCATGGCTTGTGTCTTGCGTCTGCGGCATGCTTGCTGCTTATTTTCATGTGGAACATTGAAAGAATGCTGTATTAACAAAAAAACGCCAGCTCTAGAGTTATGTATTTCATCCTTCTGAAAGATTTTTTGAAAATTCAGTGCCTGTGTATATTTATGTATGAAACAAATATCTTTGATCTACAGTTTTCTGAGAAACATAGCTGGTTAGTGGATTAGTGCTCTAAAAATGTGGCATTTAGTTGTTGTTTGAAGAAACCCATTTCCAAATGTTATGAAATTAATTTTGGCTGGAATTAAAATAGTGCGCCTTTTTTTTTTTTTTTTTTTTTTAAATCACTGATCAGAGGAGTAAAACTTGTTTTTTTTCTACTGTGATTTTATCATGAATCAATGACCCCATGTCAGATTTAGGCCATTGACTCTAATCTTTCCCACTAAGCATTAGCAGACTTGGGATGAGGAGTGCCAGCTTTTTTGGGTAATACTGCCTTGGACAGGACCTAGGCCTTGCACAATGGGAAGATGAGTCCAGTAGCTCATTTGCATTTGAATGACTTCTTAAAGGGGGGGGACGATGGTATCTGCTTTCTGATTGCTATCCAGCATTATTTCTACATCATTCTGCAAACAAAATCCTCTTGTATTTCGTATGTGGGGCTCAAGGATGTTACCACAAAGCCCTGTGCAGAGGCAACGCTTTAGCTTGGCAGGCTGGTTTTGGTTTTGAAGCCTTGTGTCAGGTTTGGTGAGGAGGAGTTGGAGCGAGGAGTCTCCAGGGGAAGAGGGACAAGGCAAGCACTCCTGCTTCCCAGTCTTTGTCCTGCTGCTGGCATGGCTGCGCACACAGTGCAGCCCTAATGAGAGTCTCGGGAAGTCTGCAAGGGTTCAGCTTCCTACCGTCACTCATCGTGTGTGACACAATGAAGGCGTTATTGCTGAGGAGAGGGAGATTGGCATGGGAGCTATACAATGTTTGTTTTAAAGTTATTTCTCTCCTGAATCTTTGGACCTATCTCACAACTACAATATAAAACTACAGCCAGAGAACCCAGATGAAGTCAGCAAAATACTGGTTTTGTTAATCTTGTCAGGTTGTCAATGTTCAGACCAGGCTTTAATACCACCTTACAGCTGCCGCCTTCCTGCTTCTGCTGTATTGTGCTGACAATGAGGACAGGAGTATCTGTCACTCCTCCAGAGGTAGCTCAGACTCTGGTTCCTGTCCAACTGCCTCTTCTTGCCTGGACTGCTATCCTATTCCATGTCCATTTATAGATCCCAGGACACCTCCTTGTCCCCATCTCCCTGTGTGACCAGGACCCGTTCCCACAGATGGATCTGGTGGAGGAACTGCTTTTGCAGCTATCCTATCCCATTTGCGCTGACCTAAAAAGCATTAAAGCTAAAAAGCCTTGTTTGGAAGATCGTCATGCCAAGCTACAGGCTCCTTGCTCAGGCAGGTTCTCCTATTAAAGGCGGCTGGGTGGAGCATTAGCAGACTTTCAGGTTACTGTCATTTGTCTTATGAGGTGACCTAAATCAACTGAGTGATCTACCTATCTGGGACAAACACCCACACAGTTCCTTCCTCCTGCAGCATCTTTTGATGCCCTCATTCCAGTGTAGATTACAAATACTTCTCCTAAGATTATGTTCATTGCTTTATTCATCCCATGCATTAACCAGAATCTTTATGTATCCTTGTGGATCACCTGTTAAGTTGGTTGACTTGAGGTGGGGAGGGGTGTTGGAAATTAGACAGCATCCAGGTGTATTTAAAGCAGAAGAAGTCTCCCGGGGATGTAAAAGAGAATTGTGGGAATATATTGTAGGAGTTCCTAAATGTCAGCTCAGCTGTCCTCACTTCTGCTGTGTCCTCACTCTGAAGCGATTAGCTCAGGACTTTTCTGACGTAATACCTAAGTTTCGACCTCTGCATCTAGCCGCAGAGGTGAGTATGGATTTAAAGAATGTGTCAGCATGAATACAGGGATGTGTCTGCTGACCATCAGGTTATCTGAGCCCGAGTCAGAGACCAGAAGCCAGGGCAGGACTGAAGCCAAGTCCTACTCTCAGTTGGTTCTTGTTAATAAGTCACTGACTTTTGAGAAAGAAGCACATGTGGTTTTGCATGTCTCTGAGGTTAAGAGGAAAAAAACTGCTTCATTTACCGGCCTTTACTGTGGAAAAGTCTTCCCTGCTCATTCCAAGCAATCTCTTACTCTTTCCTCTTTTTAGCACATGTGATCGAAGAAACAATGAACCCTTTTTTTTTCCTCCCCCCGATGAGGGTTGTATGTTATTTCCAGCAATGCCAAGGGACTTGTGACTCACCCAGCTAAGCAGGACATTCAAAACTGACCCCCAGGTTTGCAGGCAGCGTGATTTTATTGTCCTTCCTGTTCCTATTGTTTTGACAGGTTCCCACAGCCAGCGTCACCATAGAAGGAGCTTCTGCCCTCAACCGTGTCCGCTGGGCCCAGGCCGGGAAGGAGGTAGCAGTTGGTGATTCAGAAGGCCGAATATGGATCTATGATGTTGGAGAGGTATTATTATTGTTGTTTGGGGTTTTTTTTAAAGCTCAGCTCCTGGAGAATACTACATCCAAGTCTGAAGAAAGATCATATATCGTAACACATGAATAGGACACCTCCAAAGATTAAGCTAGATTTCTTTCAGTTGAATCCCCATTGATTTTGGGTTGCCAACAGTGTGTTAGTCGTAAAGCTACCTTGCAAAAGAGTTAACTGGTTAAAGTCTTTTTGAAAGTTTTCAGTGTGTTTAAAACTATTTTTTAATGGTTCTACGGTTACAGTTGGGAAAAGTTACAAAGGAATATAAAGAGGAAAATAGAGGTGCAAAAAGAAGCTGTGTTGTTCTGAAGTTGATCCTGAAGGGTTCACCTTTTATACTCCAGTATCTCTTATTTCATGACTGGCTTAATGCTGTAGATTTTGCTCAGCATGACATGTACAGAATACATCTGTTCTTTTAGTACTGAATAATGCTGAATATGTCTGAATATGTGCAAAAGTACTAACAGGAGGAAATAAGAGGTGTCATTGTGGAGGATGGTAGGTGCATGTGTGATAAAGAGTATGTAGGTGCTGAGAAATAGCAGGATATGTATTCTGTGTCTAAGGCTGCTCTCAATTCACCCTGCTACATCTTATAAAAGCCATCTAAACTGCAGTGTGTTTGGCACTGATGGAATCTACCTCTTTGTTGATGAATAAGGTATAGAGTGTTCTGTCGGCATTACAATTCCTTGGAACAGTTAAGGGTGAATCTCTGAGCAATCAGCTTTTATGTAGAGAATTTGTTTTCCATCATTATCTGTGATAGGATACTGAGATATCCATCTCAACACAGTAGGGAAACATTATAGAATATATACAGAATTATCTGTAACTCTCATAAAGTGATTTTATGGCCCATAGCAAAATTGCTTGTGCATGACTCATATTTTTGGATTGCGTTCACTTGTGCAGGAGTTGCCTTTCCTCACAAATGTTTGCTGAAACTTCTTGCTGTATTGTTAGCGTAATTTCTAAATTGTCTAAGGTTACTGCGTTCAGATTTCCACTATGACACTGGCAGGTCAGGCTGTTTTTATTTATTTTTCTTTTTTGCATGACTGTTCCAAAAAGGTGGGATTTTTGTCTACCAAGTGATACGACAGGCTATGGAAATGTCTTTTGATGACAGCGCAGTCTGATCTTGTCTGGGAGTCTAGACGGGCTGTAGAAATGTCTCTTTTTGCATATCATACACCAAATCATTCATAGGATTGTTTATTCCTGGGAGCTCACCCAGGAGAAAATAGATTTAGTGTTCTGTGCAGAAGAAGTAATATTTAAGTTTTTGGCCTTTCCTCTGTATAATCAGAATTCAACTTGCAAAATGAGTAACAGTGATATGCTCAGATCAAAAAGAAAGACAGGCTTCTATTACTTGAAAAGGAAAAAGACAAGAGAGTAATCCAACTATTTATTTGTGCGACTCCCGATCAGTGTTAAATAGAGTGTTCTGCTTCATGGATGTTGCATACCCTGCCCATGCAGAGCCCCAGCAACTCAGCTCCATACACACTTACACAGATGGATATCCATCCCCATGGCTGCTGGCAGGTCATGGGCCATTGCCACCCCTCCTTCTCTTTGAATGAAGGAACTCATTAATTTGTTGCCTGGGTCATTTTGGCAGTCTCTGTAGTAATTCCTGTACCAAATTTAGGACAAGTGGTGTGGGCTGCAACAGCTTCAAATACTACCAGGGCTGCTGTGTTGTTAGTGGCTTTTTCTGGTTTAAAAAAGGAGAGTGCTCCTATATTCTCCAGTGCCACTGTCCTCACTATAAAGCCTTCAGTGAGATGCAGAAATGCTTTGCAGCTGAAGAGCCTGGAACCAAGGGCTTGCACAGTGAGTTATTTCGTGCTTAGCTGTCCTCAGACATGATGCACAGGGGATTCACAGCACGCACATGCACTTTTGGAAGTGTCTGGCAGAAATAGGCAGCCTTTAAGGCTCCCTCTTTACTTCAGTGTCCAGACATTGGCCAGTTCTTGGCTCAGCTGGGGTCCTCCTTTGACTGTCCTTTTCGTATGGGTTTGATTCTGGGATGTGACGGGGCTGATCTGACAGTTTAAAAGGGGCAATCCTTCTCCCCCTGCCATCCAGCCATTGCTAGCCATGTTCCTTGCTTTTCAGTTTTTGTGCCAGTAGCAGTGTTTGTCACCACCCGCATTGTGGGGAGAGAGCTAGATCAACAAATAATTATTTATTTATTTATTGTTTTGTTTTCATTGGGGTATTTTTCTCCGTGAACTGACTCATTGTGAGAGTAGATGCGTGAGCATGTGGCTGGGGGCAAGGGGTAGGCAGCTGGGAGCTGTACCGTACAGTACCTGGCAGCACCTAGCTCTCATATTTGACCCAGCTGTATTGCAAAGCCTGACGCTAAGCTGCAACAGTTGACCTTTCAGCAATAGCACTCTACCTGTCTCCTACAGCACTGGCTTCTGAAAAGGCCTCATCACTGGAAGAACTCGTCTCTGCCTGACTGATAACTTAGTAGCATCCGCTTATTTGAAGGTGCATCTCTCTGATTTGGGAAGATGAGTGTTATTACTTGCATTAGAAAGTCAGCAGGCCACTTTACAAAGACCCTAAATACACATACCAAAAGCATTCATGCTCCACTTACATTGCAACCTTTTAAAAACCTTTACTTTCTCATGACTGTTCCAAATTTCACATTAGATCAGCTGTAAATTCATAAAACATTGGTTCCATCAGAAAAAAAATTGATTATATTTGTATTATAATAAAGCACAGTGTCTTTGAATTTCACATTACTGTTTAAGCAATTTTTCTTACCTGTTTGAACAGACAGAATTGACTCAGTGAATTTTGATCAGAGCAGAAAATATCAGGATATCAAATCGTTAAGGAAAAAAATTAAGTGATAGTAATTTTTACTTTGGTAGATTAATCACAGTTTTAAAGAACTATTCTAGAGAACAGTAAAGTTTACTGCTGCTATTAACCCATGTGGTGTAAAGAGAAAACATTACATGGCCAAAGTGAAAACATACGACACGAGGCCTAACCTTGCATCCTTTGTGAAGAAAAGGAGTGTGAGATCAGGGCTGTTTTGCTTGTGTAAGACTTTAGGATTTGGCCCTTTTTGCTACGTTACCCAGTCATAGTCTTTACGACTATGACAAGAAATGGCAGAAACATGAAGAATGTGGCAGAGTCCATGACCAGGGAGTTAAAAATAATGGTGACATTTTCAGTTAGGCTATATAATGTTATCTCCTTAGAGTGTGTACTTTTAGTTGTTTGATTTCAGCATCGTGTCTGAAAATAACTGAACACATTTATTTTCACAGTAAGGGGTCTATTTTCTCCTCAATGCGTGTGCTTTATGCCCATTAGCATTAGTGGGAGTTATACATGTACTTCCAGGGGAGAGGAGACTTAAATAGTCCATATAGATGTGCTCTTGTGGATCAGTAACCACTGATTTAAAGAATGTTAATTATAAAATGAAATAAAACCCCAAACTAACACACAAAAATCTGATTGTTTCAGTGTGATGGGATCTTAAACCTATGTAACTTAACCAGAGACTATAACCAGTCATTGTAAATACACTTTACTATCTGTAAGATCTAAATATTCAAACTGGTCTAGTAGTTGAGATACTATTATTGTGATAGTATGTATAATGTATTTTAGCTTCTGTGGTCTTATTTACTACGCAGCAAGTTTTCTGTAGGGTAGAAGTTGATTTTAACAGAACATGGACCACTGACTGTAGATTTATTCACATGTCCAGATGATTGATAGTTAGACCTAACTGCATGTCTCTTTTGTAGATATATTTTCTAGAAAGCTTGCTCCCATTGTGCATGCTTGACTGATGTTACACAGTTGCCGCTGTCATAAATATTCTCTAACAACCATGTTTGTTGCTTACCTGGCTTATTGAGAATGGTTTTTGCACCTTTGGTTGTGAAAGAAGCAGCTTCTCATCCACCTTCCATTATTTTTTTTTTTTCCCCTTTAATCTCTTCCAGGTCATATTCTGCTTGCACTGTGAATAAATAGATAGAAACTGTAAATCAATTATTTATTATTTGTTTGTAAAAAATATAAAGTTTACAGCACAGGATTGGAGAGTTTGAAACTGTAATCACAAGGAGCTTATTACTGTACATTATTTTGTTAAACTACTTACAGGACAAACTATTGCATCTGTTTGGTGGTCTTTCAGACAATTGATCCTAGTCATGCTTTTAAAGGATGCCTAGTATGACAGGTGGAACTGGAGAAAAGTAAGAAAAGGTCATTCCCTAGACCGTCCAGGAAAGCCGTACTCTGTACTCATTTCTTTGCAGTGAAATCAGTATCATATTGATGTTTCTGGACTTTGTTAGGTTTCAGAGTTAGTATCTCCTTAAGGCCTTGTAGGGCTGCTGTGCTTGGTTGTTTGTGTACTTGCCCATTTGCTCCCTGATGGGTGTTAATCCCATATCTCACTTTCAAGTACATGACCAGTGAGGGAGGAGCTGGCAACTGCCTGAAATAGGTGAAGTGGTACAGTAAGGAATAGCCCACTGGTGCCTATAAAATAATTTCCTTTGATTTCAGCAGCCTTTAACAGCTGCTCTGAGATTCTTAGGGTTCTAGACAGAGAGAAATGCATTTGCAACCAATTCTCACATTTCAGCATGACTATTGAGTCACTTATTTTTCTAGGCAGAGTGGAGAAGCGTCGGTACTTTGTCCTCCCATCTTGAGATCCCTGTGTCTCGCTATAGATTTCATACGGAAAACATATCCAGCATCTCTTTCATGCAGTTAAAAACTACCGTAGCCCAGAGAGAGAAATGTGAAACTAGGTTTTGTGTCATGTAGTTATCCAGGTAGATTTTCCAGTAGGCTTACTTTTGCCATTATAAAGCTCCTGTAGAGCATATATTGAGTTAGGAAATGGTTTTGCCTCAAAAGCAGAGTTGAGACTTGACATAAAATAT